ATATACAAAAAACACTTCAAGCAGTGCATAACGTTTTGTAGCTTCCCCAGGTTGTGCACTAGCCATTAAAAATCCTGAATAAGTGTCGATGGTCACATGTACATATCTTAATTTGCCAAATTCTGCATTATGCGTAACATCCATTTGCCATAGATGATTGGGATGAAGACCTCGAGGGCTTATCCATAAGTGAGGGACAGGAAAATATTTTGGACATACCCCACATCGTTTAACTATTTGATGAGCTGCTTCTTTGGCAAGATTGAATTGCTTTCTTAAATTTTTGCTATTTTGATGAAGAGCATGTGACTGTTGAGCCATTTCCACTTGGGATAATGCTCAGCCATTGCATTACCCTCAGCTAAAGGACCAGGAAGATTGACTGAGCTCTAATATGGCCCACAAAGCATGACAGCTTTCTTTTATGAATAGAGTCTTGAATTTCTTGAAACAATATGACTTGATTGTTGTTAGTTCCAATATTTTCACCAAAACAGTTACTATTCAAAGGAGTAAAGAACATAGATGTTCTTTCATGAAACGTATCCTTCATTAGCTTACTTTGAGAAAAAGCATTTTCAGAATTTAGTATTTTCATTTCATTAGCTTTAACTCCTGATGTTATTAGCAGCTGTAATATTTAGCATTGATTTTTTATAAGGAACTTTCAGGTGAAGCAACTCTTTTGTAAGACAGCTAGATTTTCTGAAGTTTGTTCAAGTCTATAAAGCAGTCATTTCTTTTTTGAATGCCTGTTTCCCTCTCTCCTTATTAGATTTGCAAAGGAATTACTCATTGCAGGCAGTTTGTTCAAAAGGCAAAGAACTTTAATTTCAACATAAGTTTCTTCATATCTAAGACAACGTTCAGTGTATAAACTGCTTTCTCTTGTTTTGAGGATTTTAAAGTGGCTTATTTGCTCTGATAGGTAGCTTTTTGTCATCCAACTACCGTAAAAACTTTGCACAGCTATTAGGGTAAATAAGGCATTTTACCAACGGCATCCCAAACAGCGAAGCACCTAGTTCTGTATCCTTTCAAATTTTCATTGGAACTGACACTTAAACTCTTAGACAATTTTCCTCCTTATTCTTTTAAAAGCTGTATTTTAAGTTTATCATGAATGTATTTTCGAGCTGACAAAAGTGTTTCAGGGCAATGTCGCCATCTTTAGGGGAAAAACTACCTTTCCCAGAATGCATTTCCCTTCTATCAGTCCCTTTATGGCAAGTTAGCTTTTGGACTTCATTTCCCATAGCTCTTTTTGGGTCTGAGAGTTAACTTCTAAGTTATTTATTTATTTATTTATTTATTTATTTATTTATTTATTTATTTATTTATTTATTTATTTATTTATTTAATTTCCAGACTTGCTTACAAATTGTTGCCCGGGAGGTTTGAACAAAATTTTTTGCTTTTGCAATGGAAGATTTGAACAAGCATTTTACATTTTCAACTATGGGACATTGGGAGGTCTATTCTCTCCTCAGCTGGCTTTAACAGGTGTCTCTCCTTCATCAGACACTGGCCCCAGATCAGAACTGCACCTGCCTCTTTAGCGCACATTGAGGTGGGCAGTTTCTGATAGCAACTTTCCTTGGGGCTTGTGCTCGCCTTAGCCAGTCAGTGAAAAATAAATATTTACAACAGAGCTTTTCCATAGCTCCTTCAGAGATTTTCTCCCACTGATTTTATTTCTCATTTTGATTGTCATGTCCTGTCCCCCCCCCCCCCCCCCCCCCCCCCCCCCCCGCCCCCATGCAGAGCTTCAGGTGTCTGTCTGCAGCTCTGTACCTCTGCTAGCTGCCTTTGGAGGTAGGGGCTTTTTTTTTCCTCCCCCCGAATCTGCCTTAAATTCTAGCAGCTTTTTCAGGTCATATATTTTTCTGGGGAGAATTACGTCCCTTCTGTTTCTTCAGAGTCTTTCTCCCAGACAGTTCCCAGTTTGGTCTCAATTTATCCCCTCTACCCCAGAAACATTTCTAACACTACAGTGGCAGCTTTCCCTGCTATTGAAAGGTAGGGGCTTTTTGTCTGTTTCTATTTTCGGGGTCTGTGGAGTTTGTGTTCATAAATCAAGCTTAGCAAGGGAGGTTTTTGCCATATCTAAGTTTGCATTAGGATAGGTGTTTTTCCCTCAGGCCTTCACCTGGCCCAGTCCCCCAGTGGGTTGCATTTGCTTGTTTGTGTGCTAAAGGACAGAGCTTATGCCAGAGGCAATCACCTCATCTCACAGGAGTCAGTTGAAACAAAGCTTTTCTCAAAGAGATGCTTTCTAGCCGGGCGGTGGTGGCGCACGCCTTTAATCCCAGCACTCGGGAGGCAGAGCCAGGCGGATCTCTGTGAGTTCGAGGCCAGCCTGGGCTACCAAGTGAGTCCCAGGAAAGGCGCAAAGCTACACAGAGAAACCCTGTCTCGAAAAACCAAAAAAAAAAAAAAAAAAAGAGATGCTTTCTCTGACAGAAAAGAAAGCTTTACTCCTGGATAGTTCTGTTCTGCCCTGGCTGGGGTCTTTCCCCAGACAGTGTTCTGACTCAGCAGCACAACTGCTTCAGACACAGTTCAGCTTTACTGTTTTCCCAGAAAGGTCCTTACTCTGATAGGAAAGCTTTTTCTCAGATTTTTTGCAGCTGTGGACCTATAAACCCGGGACTTGTAGGAAAGCAGACAACTATGCTGTTCCCACCGGCTTTAGCTTTGTTTGTTCATTAGCAATCTTCCCCTGGGTCCTGCACCTTCCTGCCTCAGCTCTGTGCTCCAGGAAGTTTACAACTGCAGGAACCCTAGTATCCCCAAAATGCACTCCAACTCAGAGTCACCTCTGGGTTTTTGCTCAGAAGTGAGGATACAATGCTAACAGTTTGCATTGCTTCAGGGGATCTTTGCATTAGGATGATTAGGAGCACCTTGTCATTCTGAAATGCTCACTCAGAAACAAAACCCTTGATGCCTCAGCTCGGCTGTAACTGAAAAGCTTGGCTTTTTTGCTTTTCTCAGGTAAAGTTTCCTGCCCTTTTGGGCTCTTTATAGCTCTTTACCCACACTCTCCCAAGCGTTTCCCTCAGGGTACTCTGACCCACTGTCTTTTACTAGCTTGAAGAGACAGAGCTTAGAAGAGGTTTTTAGGAACTTGTCCCTGCCTCCTGCATTGCAGGGAGGATTTTTAAAGCTTGAAAGAGAACTTAGGTTTTGCTGTCTTAAGAGGTTTGTTGTTCTCCCTTAGAGTTAATCACAGGTGGTCCCCATACTATTATCTTCAGGTGATTGTAATTTTTGTCCTTCTGAGAGAGAAAGTTAAAGGCTTTAGTTTTTAAGTTTAAGAGAGCTTTTAGTTTGAGAAAGATTAAGGCTTTTTAGAGAGATTTTCCCCCCAAATTTTTCAAGAAAAGCTTTTAGTTTAAGAGAAAGATTTTTTTCCCCAAGAGAGAAAGACCAACTTTTCCCAAAACTTCTGAACTTTAAACTTTTTGGCTTTTTACACCCCCATTTTTGCCTCAGGGAGAAAACAGTTTCTCCTGCTGCTTGGACTTAGCATTTCAGCTGTCCCCAGGTCAAAAGCTTCCATAGGAAACTTTTTCTTCCCCATAAGCTCAAAGAAGAGCTTTTTTACTACCCGTAAAGCCCAAAGAAAGATTTTTTTCCCCGAGTTTGTATTCATAGCCTCCAAAGTTAGAAAATTGAAGTTTTTCTGTCTAGTTGTCTTACTTATTTATTCCTACACGATCTTACACTTCTAAGTTTTTCCTACACTATGCCTTATATTTTTCACGGATAGAAATTGAGAAAGGGATAGAAGATAGAAAATTTTGACAGAAGAGAATTGCGCTGCAGCATTGGACATCCTTCCAGTCCGCTTTCCTTTTCTCTCAAGGATAAAACCCCTGCCCCTCAATAAATATATAAAATATATATTTTCCATAACACTGGCATGCCTTTCTACTGGCAGGTCTGACCCACACTTTTGCCAAAAACTCTGTAATAAAACTATTATTTTCCTTTATCTTTAGTCCCTATTACTTTGTCTTTAGTCCCTGTTCATTTGTCTTAGTCCCCCCTTTTTTGTCTTTAGTCCCTTTTTCCTTTTTTCTTTAGTCCCTGTTCATGGCGCCATTCTGTGGGGCATTTACCCACCAACCCCACAGCTCCCCAGAGTTTTCTTGAGTGTGAGCAGCAGGAAATATTAGATAGAAGGATTTATATTGCTGAGAATATTCTGGAGATAAACAGATAGAAAATAAAGGATAGCCTTGAGAGGGCCTGGAACCTTTTCCAACGGCCCCGAATGTCTCTGCCCCAGAGTATTTATAGACGCCAAGGGGGTGAAGTAAAAGACCTCCCCCACCAGCACAGCCAAGTGCAGACCATCTCAGACACCTGCACTCAGGCCCATGGTCCTAATCATCCTCTATGCGGGACATGCTGGGTAAAGCCACGAGGAACCCAAAAACGGGCTCCCACACCTTACCACACATTTATAGGGCTTCTCTCCAGTGTGAGTTCGTTCATGTATTCGAATGGAGCAGGAGGAAATAAAACTTTTCCCACACTATTCACAGACACAGGGCTTCTCACCACTATGAATCCTCTCATGATAGTGAAAGGAACTATGAATGGTAAAGGTTTTATCACAAACTTTACATACATAGGGTTTTTTACCAGTGTGACATCGTTCATGTCTTTGAAGGGAATTATAGTAAATAAAGGCTTTCCCACATTGCTTACATACATAGGGTTTTTCACGGGTGTGAGTTCTTTCATGGTCATGAAAGTTACTCAAATAACTGAAAGTTTTATCACATTTCTTACATCTGTAAGGTTTCTCTTCAGTTTGAGTTCTCTCATGTCTTTGAATTCTACTCAAACTAGACAAGACTTTCTCACTCTCCTTTTGTACATATGGTTTCCCTCCAGTGTTAGTCTTTTTATGACACTGAAGGAAACTGTGGTTCATGAAGGATTTACCACATTGCTTACACACTATGGTTTTTTTTTCCATTGACAATTTTCAAATGTATTTGAATGTAGCTCTGATTCTGGAAGGCTTTCTCACATTGCTTATATTCATAGATGTTCTCCTCACCAGAAGTACTCTCATGCTTCAGAATGCATTTGGGATAAATGAAAGCTTTCCTACATTCCTTAACTTTATAGAGACCTCTGCAACATAGCTTATATTTATGATGTTTGTGTCCAGTATGCACACTAATAGGTACACTTTGGGATGAATCACCAATAAGCATATCTTCATGCTCATGTCTTTTTTACTCCAGGAAAAGTTTTCTTGTTCACAACTGAGCCTACAATCTGGCTGAAGATTTTTCCACATTCACTACCTTTATGTTTACCCAGACTGTGCACCAACCACTTCACTTCTGTAGAAAAGAGAAAGCAAATTACTAAAATTTTGTTTGGGGCTAGGGAAATGGCTTGGTGGTTAAAAGTGCTTGCACTGCAAGCATAAAGACCTAAGTTCAAATCTCCAGCATCCATGTAAAAGCTAGGCATAGCCTAGCAGTTGGGGGTGGAGACAGATCCTGAGAGCTCACCAGCCTACTCACCTAGGCAAATTGGTGAGCTTCTGATTTAGTGACACTGTCTTGAAGAAATAAGACAGAGACTGATGGAGGAGTCTGATGTTTTGCTTTGACTTTTGCATTGGCATACACACCCACATATTCATGTACATATAACACACACAAATAAAAGTTTTGTTTATAATTCATAATCAAGAAGAAGGATTGCTGGTTTTATGCAGTTTGGGATTTTTTAAAGAAGAATGTAGGTAACCTATAAGAAAACCAATATTGAGATACTGGTACTTGTATGGAGTTTCTTAGTACTTTTATCAAGTTAATTATTTTCTAAACATTGAGTACTTTATTATTATTTTTAAAGATTTTACTTTCATATTTAAATTATGTGTATGTGCATATAAGTTCAGTTCTTGTGGAGGCCAGAAAAGGGCACTGGATGTGGACTATGAGATGTGGGTGCTCTTAACTGCTAAGCTATCTCTCCAGGCCTTAGTAATTTTGAGGTGAGGTCCTCATATAATATAAACTCACCACCTTCCCTGCCAGACTAACCACCAGAGATTTCAGGCATGTCACCATATCTGCTTCTTCCCCCCCCCCAATAATGAGGCATTTAATGTTTCTTATATTTTCTTCTATTAAGTATTTTAACATTAACATTGTAAAACTGTGTTGACAAAACAGCACACATTGGGAGTACATCATCTAATCTTAGACTTGTATTCTGGAAACAGACACATGAGGATTATGAGTTGCAATGAATCCCTGAATCATTACTGACATCCAAACCAGGATGAATAACAAACAACAAAATTACAAGGGTATATGTGAAAATATGAAAAACAAAACCAGGAATGACAACCCACCACCTTTTCATAGACACCCTTACTTGAAAAGTATAATCACACACTGCCTGATATTTAAATAAAGAATGGACCACTTAGATGATGGGGATCCCATTCTATACATTACAGAAGAAAAATACCTATCACTAAGAGAAAGCACAATAAAACATGAACAAAAGCAACAGAAGGAATATAAAGAAAACAAAATAAAACTTCACTAAATGGATTTGCCACACATAGAGCACACTTGAATATCTACCTCAAATGTTTCAAAATAGAAACTACAATGCAGTAATCTCAACCATATGTCTTAAGTGAACATGGTAAGTAATTTACTTCCTTCAAGGCTACAATGAAAAACAAATGAAATGTGATTTTTGTTCTTGAAGCTGAAGACAACTGTGATGTCTAGAGTCTTTACCAAATTATTTACATGAATAGGGTTTTTCTCTTGTATGAGTTTATTCCCATTTCCTCACTTCAAAATGATATAAATAGTTTTTAAAATATTTACAGCACTAAAGACATGGCTGAGCAGTTAAGAAATGTTCATTACCAGGACCAAGGTCTGATTTTTGACAACTTCCTATAATTCCTGCTACAAAAAGATCCAAGGGTTTAATGTTCTCAGGAACAACATGCACATTCCCACACCCACAAAAACAAACACTGACATCACATAATTACAATTAAAGTAACTCTTTAGAAAAACAATTTTTCATTCATGAAAGTTTTTCTCTTGTAAGCATTTGTTCTTGTAATACAGGTATTGAAGCACCTAATGGCTTATTACATAGTTTTTCTTCATCATGAATTGTTTTATGTAACCAAAAGCAAGTATGTAGGCATGGAGTCTGAGAAACCAATCCTTGTAATTGGTGGTTTCATTTGGAAAGAATTAGGAAATGCTGCCCTGCTGCAGGAAATATGTTACTGGGCCTACCAGCTTAGAGAATTTACATCCACACATTTCCAGGTCCCACTCTTTGCTTCATGCTGCCAGGTAAGGATATGAGTTCTTAGCTTCCTGCTTTAGCTGCCACATCTGACAGTTGTTGCCATGCCACTTTCATGGTGATTCTGTATCCCTCTGGTATTAAGGGCCAAATTAAACTCTTTTATAAGTTGACCTAGACATTATATCATAACAGAAAAGGAACTAATACAAATTCATAAAGTTTTACACCTGAATTAGTTATTCCATGCGATTTAAGACAAGTATAAGATCTGAAAGGGTTATGTTATTGTTTAAATTCACCGTGCAAGTGTTACAGCTCTGGAAGGAATGGTACCCTGTCTGTAGGAAGTTAGACTATACTTTCAGCTGTGAATGGAAGGTATCCTATATAATTACAGCTGTGAGGAGAAAGCTATCCTGACAGGAAGTCAGGCTAAACCAGAAGCTGTGTTCCAGTGGGGGATGATATCCCTACAGGATGAGCAATCCTGCTTCTCTCTGAGAGACAGCCCTTACAGCTGGGCTCTGCTCAACTCTGTTAAGAGAGGTTCCTAGCAGAGATGTCTGTTGCTGCTCTGCTCCACTCACCTAAGGGAGTTTCCTAGAAGAGGTGTCCATTGCTTCTCTGCTCCAATCCACTAGGGATATTCTGATCCACTTGGACAAAAGGATGTCTTCACTCAAAACTCACTCAAGATATTTACTGGGGAGGGAGGAATCCAGGAGAGAGTCTGTCTCTGCCAGTGTGGAAAAGGGCAGCAGCCAACTGAACGTGAACAAGGCTTATATGGGGTTTCTTAGGGGCAGAGTTTTTCTAGGGAGAAGATTTTTGGGGTGGGAATTGGTTGGATTTCAATCCCTGTGCTTGAATAAGCTCAGAGATTGGCTGGATTTCATGCTCATGGATTGGTTGGTTTTATGCTCAGCTGGTCAAAGCTAGAGTGTGTTTCATTGGCTGTGGTTTCAGGGACAAAGTGTGTTTCTTTCACTTGGCTCTTCTTAAAATTATGGCTCTGTTTTCAGGGCCACAGTGTATCTTTCACTAGCTTTGGAATCAGGGACAAAGTATGTTTCATTAGCTCTAGTTGAAGGGTGTGTTTCTTTAGCTGGCTCTTTTACCCTACACATAATGCTTCATAAATTTGTTTTTTTTTCCCATGAGATAGCTGGTGCAAACAATATAAAAACCGACATCATAATGCTTGAACAGTTTGTTGACACTGTCAATTTTTTTCTACAGAATAAACACTGTTATGTAACTGACTATAAGTGTGGTGGCTAAAGATTTTACTAAATACATTATAATAAATAGCCCTCAGTATCATTTTCAGGTACTCAAAGTCTATTGTGATAAGCAAAGGCTTTAAGAGAGTCAATGCACACAAAAATTTTACTCTTGTGTAAAGTGCAAAACTTTATCACACTGACTATATTTTTAGTGTTTTTCTGCAATATGACTTTTTCTCATTATTTCAAAGATTACTGATACATACAACGCTGATTACATTCATAGGGTTTCTCTCCAGTATGTGTTCTTTTATGCATTTGAAGATGACTGTGATATGCAACGGCTTTACCACATTGAATACATTCATAGGGTTTCTCTCTAGTATGCGTTGTTTCATGCATTTGAAGATGGCTGTGTATGTAATGGTTTAACCACACTGATTGTATTCATAGGGTTTCTTTCCAGTATGTGTTCTTTAATGCATTTGAAGATGACTGTGATACAAATGCTTTACCACATTAATTACATTCATAGTTTTTTCTCCAGTATGTATTCTTTCATGCATTTGAAGATTACCACGCTGTGCAAAGGCTTTACCACATTGAATACATTCATACGGTTTCTCTCCAGTATGTGTTCTTTCATGGATTTGAAGATGACTCTGTTGTACAAAGGCTTTACCACGTTGAATACATTCATAGGGTTTCTCTCCAGTATGTGTTCTTTCATGCATTTGAAGATGACTCTGAGATACAAAGGCTTTACCACATTGACTACATTCATGGGGTTTCTCTCTGGTATGTGTTCTTTCATGCCTTTGAAGAATATTGTGATGAACAAAGGCTTTACCACATTGGTTACATTCATAAGGTTTCTCTCCAGTATGTCTTCTTTTATGTATTTGAAGACTAATGTGTTTTGAAAAGACTTTATCACACTGATTACAATTGTATAATTTCTCTCCAGTATGTGTTCTTTCATGCCTTTGAAGATGACCATGCTGTGCAAAGGCTTTACCACACTGATTGCATTCATAGGGTTTCTCTCCAGTATGTGTTTTTTTATGCACCTGAAGACTACAGTGACGAACAAAGGCTTTACCGCATTGATTGCATTCATAGGGTTTCTCTCCAGTATGTGTTTTCTTATGCATCTGAAGACTACTGTGATGAGCATAAGCTTTACCACACTGATTACATTCAAAGAGTTTCTCTCCAGTATGTGTTCTTTCATGCCTGTGAAGATGACTCTCATATGCAAAGGCTTTACCACACTGAATATATACAGAAGTTTTCTCTCCAGTTTGGCTTCTTTCATGCCTTCCATTTCTTCTAGAACTTTGACAATGTTCATCAGTATTATGGTCTTCCCAACTGTATCCTATAGTAGTGAGGTTCCAATAGGTCTGCAGCATCACATCTTTGTAGAGATTCTTCTGGGAAGGATCCAGCAAAGTCCACTCTTCCCAAGTGAAGTCAACATGAACATCATCATAGGTCACTGCATTCATGTTATGATTTCCCAGCTTGTCCATGCTCTCTGTTCAGCTCCCTGCACTTGCAGCAGACCACACAAAACCACTGGTGCCTTCTCTTCAAAGTCAAGCCTGAAGCTGGCTGCTGGAAGGACCTTGTACCACTTCTGACTGGCAGGTCGACTGGCTAGTGAGACCTCACAAACTCCTCAGCTGATCCTGTTTCCTCAGACTGAAAGCCTCTGAGTCCTACCTCTGAAGGTCTCAGTTGAGCTGCTTAAAAAGCCCCATATCTGCTGCTTTATGTCAGAGTTAAATGCACTTGAGAATGCATTATGCAAAATGCTTTGGTCACCACTATTTTGGATTTTGAAATATTTGCATATATATTAGTGTATTTTTGAAACTTTTAGCCAGGCAGTGGTTGGTACATGCCTTTAATCCCAGAACTCAGGAGGCAGAGGCTGGCGGATCTCTGAGTTCGAGTTCAGCCTGGTCTACAAAGTAAGTTCCAGGACATCCAAAGCTGTTATACAGAGAAACCCAGTCTCAAAAAAAAAACCAAAAAACAAAACAAAACAAAAAAAAAACTTTTAAAGACTTATTTTTATTTTATGTGTATGGTATGTTGCTTTCCTCTATGGTTGTATACCATCTTCTTTCCTGGTCCTAGAAGAATGCATTGAATTCCCTGGAACTGGAGTTACAAAGGTTTGTGAGCCACCAAGTGGGTGCTGGGAATTAAACTTTGTCTTGTCTCTTGTGTTTTAAGACATGATTTCACCATGTAGCTCTGGCTGACCTGGAACTTACTATGTAAATGGGGGCTAGTCTACAATTCTTAGACATCTGCCTGCCTTTGTGTATGGAGTGCTGCGATTAAGGGTGGGTGCCATCATGACTGGTTTAGTCCTATATTCTTGAGTAATTTCTCTTTAATTTGGAAGGGGAAATTAGCTTAGTCTCCAGGAAATTTTGTGGTTATCTTCAATATTCTGGCATTCCTGTGCTTGTTCTAAAAATACAGAACCAGAAAAATCACTACAATTTCTATCATAAAAAACAAAACAAACAAACTAGATTCTGAGTAGTTTAATGATATGTGACCATTCTTGGTATATTCTCCAAATTGATCCTTTCTATACTGCAAATCATTGAGCAGCATTGATGAGCAAGACAGACTTTTTCTCAGACTGAGAAGTAAGGAGTGATTTTACCCTTACCTATAGAGACCAGATTCCTGAAAGTTTCCTCCATTACATCTCTGTAGAGTTTCATCTGAGAAGGATCCAGCAAAGCCCACTCTTCCAAAGTAAAGATGACAACTATATCCTCAAAGGTCATAGTCTCCTAGAATATACCACAGATTCCCAAGAGAAGAGGTAAGATTCACAACACAGTATATTTAGCATCAACTCATATTTTATGGTTAAAAAAGACCTGAATTTGATTCCTGGGACTCCCATGCATGGTAGAAGAAGAGAACTAACTCCCCAAGTTGTCCTCTGCCCTCCACATGCATGCTGTGGCACACATGTACAAACACACATAATAAATTAATTGATGTAATAAAAATTTAAAAGCAAGGCAGAGTGACAGTAGAAAACACCCTACATCAACCTCTAACTTCTATATATGCAAACATGAGTGAGTGCACATACATTCATATACATTGCAAACACACACACACACACACACACACACACACACACATACACACACACGTATATATATAGGCTCTAAAAGAGATCCAGTCTACTATGATTTGGAAGGTAAAGAAGCCATCTCCTAATTAATGTCATTCACTTTATAAATACAGTCATAAAATTTAAATAAAATTTTTTAAAATCTGCAATACAGAAAGCACTACATTGTTGCCCCTTTCCTTGGGACAGCTCACTCCAATTTCTATTTGGAAGATATCCTTTGCTAAATCAACCTCTGCTTAAACTGTCTATCTTCCTTGGCTGAATTATCTTCTTCTTTTTTTAATGGCACAGGATATACATTACAGTCCAAAACACAGGGAATGGAGCATAGTGAGGAAATACTGGACCAAAGCAAGACTGAAACCCAGCTGGGCAAACTCCAAACTCTGCATCTCCATGTCTGATGTTAAAACACTCTTCGGATCTCCAACTCCTTTCAGTTCTGTTGCCTGCAACACACTTCTTTCTCTTGGGCTGGATCCACTCCCTGTTAGCAGCTCTCCTCAGCAGGTATCCCATGACTCTGGCATCTCCAACATTTTAGGTTCTCCAAGGCAATCCAGTCTTCAACTTCACAGCTTCACGAAATGGCCTCTCAGCCTCCATTCAGGGACACCCCTAACACATGCCTGGCCTCAGCAGCTTTCCTTAGTCTCAGAGGCAAATTTCATAGCCCCTTTCTTCTATCTTTAACTCCAGAACTATGTGGCCAAAGCTGTCAAGTTTTGCTGCCCCCGTTCAATTACATCTTTACCAGCTTTCTGTTCTTCATTGCCCTAAGCTTGGCTGTCCTGAAACTGGATCTCCTGAATTCTCTTCTTCAAGAATATAAGAACTGGTCCCTCTCCTTCCATCTGATACTTGCCCAATTCCATCTTATGGTACCGCTCCCCACCAGACCTTCCAGACTGCCCAGATAGATTACCTGTATTCTCCTTCCAAACCCCTCTAATATGGGTTACTCCAAAGATCCATGGATGCTTGACAAGTTCTTCCAGCTACCTGACTAGGACCCTCCAGTTGCCCTATCCAGCCTTGAGACCCAGGATAAGTTCATACTGCCAGGGAAATCTTGTTTCAAGCCCCTCAAACAAGCCAGTCTGTGTACCAGACTGTGGCTAAAAAGCAGAAGAGCTAGAATAGTGGCTGCAGCTTTAACTACTATTAACTACCAGACAAACAGAGGAGATCATATCCCAACCCTGCTATAGATTAGCCCCTCCTGAACATTTTAAACCTCTGTTAAAAGAAGAAAGATGACCTGAATAGAAAACACAAAGAAAAACTGAGCCAACAAACTAACTCCAGATCCTCTGACCTCCTGGGGCACCTGAACACACACCACATACCACACACACACACACACACACACACACACACACACACACACACACACACACACACAAACACACACACACACACACACACACACTCATATTCATAATCTTTTTAAGTTACAATTGAGTCATTGTACAATGGGGCAACAATACCCCTACTAGACATCTCAGACTAACAAATAAAAAGCACAGTGCCAGGAATGTGTCTTCAGTTTTGTTTCTTTGAAATTTTATTTATTTTTACTTTATGTGTATGGGTGTTTTGCTTGCACATATGTCTGTGTATCATGTGCCATGCAGTGTCTGAAGAGGCCAGAGAGAAGTGTCAGCTTCTCTGGAACTGGTGTAACAAATGGTTGTGAGCTACCATGTGGGTGCTCGGAACTGAACGTGGGTACTCAGAACAGCAGCCATAAGTCATTACAAGAACTTGTACAACAGTACTCATAACCGGAGATACATCTCTCCAGGCCTTGGGTTATTTCTTTTGGAGTTTTTTGGTCAGTAAGGTCCCATAGACTTCCAAACATTACAGGCTGTTGCCAATGCTATTGCTTATCCTTCAAAACTTGACAGTAAGGCAAAATGACTGAAGATACCAGATACTTGAGTCACAGAACAGGGAGATATCAATTAGTACTGACCTGGAAGCTTTATCCCTACTGGATAGCTTTCATAGTACTGGCAGGTGCTATGCATTCTACCAGAGCAAAAGTAATCATTAATTTTAGCCCAGTGTGAGGACTGCCACCTGCAGTAAGGACTTGCTTAACCAGACATGCCCAATGGTGCAATAGTGGCACAAACATGTGACTAATCAACCACTTTCTGACTGGTTTTAGGTCTTACTCCACAAGATAAAAGCTATACCTTGCACCATTATTGGACCAAGAACCTGTGTATAGAGAGGTCATAGGCCCTAGCAGAGAGCCTACTATTATTCTGCTAAATGACACTGCATTAAACTGACTTGTAATGACTTATCATTTTATATATATATAGATAGCAGTGCTCAACCCTAAATGGGACATCTAAATTGCACCCCCTCCTCCTAAGGCTTAGGGTCAGTTTGGAAAAGGGGGCAGAAAGAGTGTAAGAGACAGAGGTGGTGGGTGACTATAAAGAAACAATGTCTTCCTGACATAACAGAGAAGCTGAGCACACAACTTTACTTTGGTTGTGGCAGCATGCACAAAACTTGTGCAAGCTCAACCCAGATGAAATCTCAATATGGTTGGAAAGGTGAGAATTAAGTCCTACCCCTATCAAAGGAGATATTGGCTCTCCTTCTGGTAGAGGAAGATTCTTTTTTTTTTTTTTTTTTGGTTTTTCGAGACAGGGTTTCTTTGTGTAGCTTTGCGCCTTTCCTGGAACTCACTTGGTAGTCCAGGCTGGCCTCGAACTCACAGAGATCCGCCTGGCTCTGCCTCCCGAGTGCTGGGATTAAAGGCGTGCGCCACCACCGCCCGGCCAGAGGAAGATTCTTTAAGAGTGCATCCCCTGGTAAGCTGACCACACTGCAAATGAAGGCCAAGGGCCCAAGAATATATGGGCAGCACAAACTGAACTTGATCAATTAAAAAAAAAGGACACAAAGTTTTGGGTCACTAGTGAAGGGGTGGTGGTAGATCTGGCAGGAACTGGGGGAGGGGATGGATATAAACATCGTATAAGATTCTAAGGAACTAATAAAAAAGTCATTTTGGTCATACTACTCCTCTTTCCACCCTCCCAAAACAGAAAGTAAGAATTGAGAAAACTTTAGTCACTTGTTAGAGTATCACTGTACACCTCTCCACTTACTGAGTAGGTTCTGCCACATGAAAGAGTTGTGTTTTTTGGCATGTGTCTGAAACAAGCATTTTGAAAAGTTCATTTTCCAAGTAGCATGGAGAGAGGGGAGAGTGAAGGGAAAAGAGAGCCATCAGTCCTGCCCTATGTCATGTGAAGCAACATTAACTGTGTTTTATTTCTTAAGACAGACAGATCTTGAGGCCATTCAGGATAAAGGACAGCAAATCACTAGGTCTCCATAACATCTTGATAAGTACAAAACTGAGTGGTTCAGTTGCTCCTCATATGCCTATAACATTCCAGAAATCCACAGAAGTTTGGAATTTTCCTAAATCCCTAGGTAATGACTAAAAACTTATGAAGCAACTATATACTTAATCAGTGTAGAGTACACACTACCAAAATTTGGGTCAATGTTCTGACACACAACACAGACTAAATATGTATTCTAAGAAGCCTCCAGAGATTAAATACTTTTGCAGTGTTCAATATTAGTAAAGCAGGCACCATAGAACCTGCATTCTGCTATGACCATTTTGGTGAAAACTGAGAGAAATTATAACAATCTAAAGCTATTAATCAACACCCTTCTCTCCAGACCTGGTGGATTTCAACTGAGAAAATCCTGGACAGAAGTGCATCTTATAGAAATTTTGAATTTGAGTCCAGGAAAAGGCCTCAAAGCACCAATGAACCTTTCCCCTGAGCTCTCCCAACAATCTGGAGGCTTCTCAGAGCTCAGACATCACAGGCTGCAGGATCCTGATCTTAATCCTGTAGAGCCTAGACCTTTGAAGTCCCAGCCAGACCAGACAATATGGTGATTTTGGGTGTAGGTAAGCATAGACAAAGTAGTCTAAACTTACATCTAATGTTTTTAGATACTAAAAAAGTTGCTGGTGTGCAACAAAAGTAGAGTCAATAAATATTTCTTGTATCTTGTGTCAAATTTTCTACGAAAGACTATCTTCTAAAACTTTTGATCAAACCCTTAAAACCTTTGTGGGCTGGTGGAATGGTGGGTTTCTAGACTAGAATGTTCGTATTTTGAAGATACTTTCAAGAGATTACTAATATGTTATACATACAGAAGACTGCTGTCCTTACTAGAAACAGCTGGTCTGTTTTGATGTTTAAAAGTACTCACCATATGTTAAATGCCACTTTTTAATAATCTTTTTGTTAAAAGTCCTATGGAATATGCTCTTTTGGGAGTGGAACCATGAAGCTACCCCTGTGAGCAATATGATCTCTACTTGCTCAGTTATTTGCAAAATGCAATATGCTAATGTGCTTATAGTTGGACATTTTTGGATGCCATCTTTTTCTCAATGTTTTATTCATTTTGTTTTGCTGTGCATATACTATGTATACAGGGCAAGCTCAAATTTTCACTAGATAATAAAAAGGTTGCCAGTGTATGATAAAATAGTAACGCAGGTACTTCATTTTTTTTAAAAGTCAGGCAGTAGTGGCACATGCCTTGAATCTCAGCAC